AGAGAGGGGGCGGGGGGTCGCACTCCTTGTCGTGTGGGAGGGGAGTAGAAAGGGTATCACAATGTAACATCTGCCCCATTTGCATCAATGCCAAGGTGTTTGGACAATGCGAACGCAGAGCAAGAGGACAGACTAGTGGGCGAGGCGTGAATTGCAGACCCTTCTCGGTCCTTTTGTTCAGGCCTGCTTTTCCAGCAGAGACCTTAGCATTGTCTGAGGAATGAATCAAGCAGCAGATGCGGGTAGGCTTCTGGGCCCTGCACCAATTAGGTGACCTTGGGCAAGGTGACGTGGCCTCTCTGTGCCTGTTTCTCATTTGCAAAATGGGCTGATAACAGCCATCTCCTACTGTTAGTGGTCATGATTAAAAGAGAAAAAGTACATGGCGCCCTTGGCCCTGAGCCTGACACCTGGGATGATGAATCCAACCTGGGATGATGAATCCATCCGCAAGTGTTGCTGGGAATGGCCCAGGGCACCGCTTTGCAAACTGTCCTCTCTCCTACAGGTCCCTGAACTGTCTCCCCACTTACCTTAATGAAGACAAAAAGAATTCAACAGCGTTCATAAGAACTCAAGAGGAGACTGCTAAGGGAGGGAGGGTCAATAGTTTTCTAACCCAAGAACAAATAATTGTCCTTTTCCCCAGCCTCCTCAAATGTATTTTGCTTTCTTCCTCCTCAGAGTCCAAGGGCCCTTTGGGAACCAACATGTCAAGATCAAGTCCTTCCAGGTGCTGTGAGACGCACTGCTTTAGCTTCAATGTTTCACTTGCAGCACAAGAGATGTGTGCCAAGCTGGGTGCAGAGAAGCCTGCACAAGCTGAGCCCACAAGGGTCAGGGCCAGGCCCAGGCTTCTTCCTGCAGCCTGGAGCACATATGGAAACTGGGAATCCATCGTCCCCTCCGAGCAGGCACAGAACCTACAGGACCATTGTAATAGGACCTCAAAGGCAACACCACCAAAACTTACTTACGTAGGCATCTTCTTTTGCTATTGTTTTAAAAAACTATCTTCACTAACGCGAAAGGTAATTCTGTTGACTTAGTTTGCCGAGCATCTCCCTACCCCTGCTCTGGCCTCGCTCCCCATCAGCGAATGTGGCAGACGCTGCAAGAACAAAGAAACCTCAGCCTGGTGTGAATTGTGGAACACTTTACTGAACAAATGAACAGAAGTCAGGTTTCCTCTGTGGGTTAGGAAGGACTCGAGGCACCGGCAAGGAAGTGAAAGGAATTTCTGGAAATGTTTGGGGCGGAGGAAGAAGTTCAAAGGGAAATCATTTAAAGGACAAGATGAATAGCCCCTGCGGAAATGCCTCAGATGATGAAAGAGGTGAGGATCCCAGAAATGGAGACACAGAGAAAAGGTGGAGACCAGGCTGGGAATACGGATTTGCCCAGAATGCTGCCCAAGTGCCCAGCACAGGGCACAAGGCGTCCTCAGAGCCAGTTGGAAGAGATGGCAGCAGGATTCTATGGAAGGAGCTTAAGCTTCGGGGTTAGACTGGAACTCACTAGCCAACTAGTCAACCACATGCTGCTCACGTGGCTTTGCACTGCTTTGCTGTCCTAAACCTTAGTGTCCTCATGCTCAAAATGGAACTGATAATGCCCACTGCCTAGGGTTGTTAGGAGGATAGTGTGCAATTAAAATATGGAATGTCCACCCCAGCACACTGGACACACACAGATTGTGGTTCCCTAGCTAAGCACCTGAAGTGATTTATTCCTATCCTTGAGCTTTGCCCAGGCCAGCTGCTTTTAAATTCTCCCTAGAGGACTCAGGAACTTGTTACAGCTATCCTTCGCCCAACAGAGGTGACTTCACGGGGGACTGCTACAGTGCTGACGGACAGCTTCCTCTCCGGGACAGGTGGGAGCTGCCGCATGGTCTGGAGAGACCTGCAGCTGTGCTGAGCATAGCCAGGCCCTGAGCCCGAGTCCCCTCCCTCCAGGGAGCTGTCACCTTTTCCTGCTCTCCACCGCCTCCCCTCCAGTGGCCCAGTGAGTAGATGAGTCTCGTTTTCCAGGAGTTTTATCAAGTGAGGGCAGGATCTCCGAATCCATCCACAGCATTTAGTCCCCAGGCAGCCAAAATTACCCAAGATATTTAGAAACCATTCCTAATGCTTGAACTTGAAAAAAATCAAAAGTTAAGAGCAGTTTGGGTCCACTCTTTAAGAAATGGCAAGGAAAATGACAGCTGAGGTAAAAGTTGATCAAAGGCTGGGCACCCAATTCCCATGTTAGTATCCTTTCTAATACTCCTCCCCCAATACATGAAATACCACACACACACACACACACACACACACACGTACAAATACATATGTGTACACACATTCAGAAGCAGAGTCCCTTAGAAAAAACCTTGAAATTGTCTGACATTTTCTAGTTTCTTCTCTAAAACACCACCAACAAATATGAGAAGTTGATGAAGGTTTGTATACACAAGATGACATTTTAGCAACTGCCCACCACAAACCATCCACCAATGGCAAGCTAGTATTTAGTTATAAAAACATTAATCAGAAATAAAGTTAGATTCCTTCTGTGTGCAAAAATACATTGCAGGTATGTTAAAGAGCCATGGATAAGTAATTACAAAATATTTGAAAAAAATCTGAACATTCAGACAGCCTTGGAACTGGAAAAAATTAAGCAAAGAAATGCATAAGCCATAAAAAAAGACATTTGGTCATTTGAAAAATGGAAAGCTTCAAAGAACAAAAATCATCAAAATCAAATCTAAGACATCATAAAGATTATAACAAAATGATAACTTGGAATAAAATATTTTTATCACATATGTACTAAGGACTCTCCCAAATTATTAACAAGAAGATAAATAACCAATAGAAAAATGGCAAAGAACATAAACGGGCAAGTTATAAAAAGGAGTCAACATGAACAACAGTAACATAAAAGTTTAAAAGGCACACCCTCTGCATTAGGACACAGGGAAATTAAAACACACACACCGACGTAACCGTTTTTTTATGCATTAAAAAAGGTCAGAAGATTGGTAACAGCCAGTGGAAACAAGGGGCTGGTTCTGCCACACAATGTTACAAACTTTATAAAAGTCATCCAACAGTATGTATTCAACTTTAAAATGGGCATGCACTCTGACCCAGGAATTCCATTTCTGGGAACTTTTCAAGCTAATTAAATAGTGTACGGAGCTAATTGCGATGTTTATTAACGCATTTTTTGTAATGAAAGAAAAAACAAACTGAAAACCACCTAAATATTCAGAAGGTGATGCGCTGAGCGGACTACCTGGGCTGCGGCATACTGTTTGACTCTGCTTGTCCTATGTGTTCACATGCGGGACTCGGAGCACGTCTATACTGCAATTTCCTCACCTATAAGATGAAGGTAATACTGGCACTTACATTACAGATTTATTTGTGGTCACTTGGAAGGACTTTTACTATATATTGCCAAGTTTTTTAAAAAGCAATCTGCAGAATTAAAGGTATTCTTTAAAAGTGTACGTATGCCGCCCTGGCCGGTTTGGTTCAGCAGTTGGAGTGTCGGCCTGCGGTCCAGAGAGACCCGGGTTCGGTTCCCGCTAAGGGCACGTACCTCGGTTGCAGTTTGTCCCCGGCCCTGGTTGGTCGTGCGGGTGGCAGCCACTCGATGTGTCCCTTTCACGTTGATGTTTCCCTCTCTCTCTCTTCCTCTCTCTCCCTCCCACTCTACCTGAACAAAAAATGGAAAAATGTCCTCAGGTGAGGATAAAAAAAATAAAAATAAAAGTGTACGTATGCCTATAATTACTCGTATGCTTTCTGCAAAGGGAAACGTGGAGAAACTCTACATTAAATCGTGAACAGCTCCACTGCCTTTGTAGTTTGTCACTGAAAAGAAGTCACCAATAGAAAGAAAAAAAAATACAGGAGGCATAAAGCTGGAAAAACAAATACAAATGCTTAATAATCAGAGCGGGGAACATTCATCCTTAAACCTAGCAGTTTCTGAGAACCTCCTGAATGCAAAGCCCCCTTTCTGATGCCATGTGCCATCCAAGTAGCCAAGCCAAGGGCGCTACAGTCACCCCCTAAGGCGAGGCACAGTGAAGAGGGGTGTTTGTGTATGGGTGTGTGTGGGGTGCATGTGGGGGTGGAAAGGAGGGGAAGACTGTGTGGGTGAAGAAATACACACCTTTGCAGGGATTACAGGTAGACTCGGGTTCTAATCCTGACCCTTGCACTTTTCTATAGAATTCAAATAGTCTGGTTTTCTTTTGAACCAATCTCTTCACTTGAGAAATGAGGAAGGGACGGGGTCTAGTGAGTCATAGTCACACGAGGCCTGGCCCAGGGCGCCCCTGCCCTCCCAGCCCTGTTTCAGGCCCATCCCTGGTGCTGAGTCCACCCCCCCCCACCCCCATTCCCTGCTCCGGCCTCACAGCCTTTTCCTTCCCTTAGAGGAGGTGCCGGCCTTTAGGCTTGTCGCTGTCACAACGTTGCATGTCTGCCTGTGACTCTGTTTACTTTCACCCTCGTTCCTGCTGCATTTAAGGGATTTGGGGTCCCTGTGCAAGTGAAGGCAGGATTTCAGTCACACACGCACAGTAAAAGAGGAGTCCTGTGCCCTTCACTTGACACACAACTTTCCAAACAAGAGCCCAGGTGTCACGCTGGATCCTAGATAAAATACAGATTTCGTTAGCAACAGAAACAAAGCTCCCAACGCCAAAATGGCCAGAGAAGAGGAATGGTAACAACTTTACATGATTGAAAAACTGTATTTTAAAGCATTGACCCTTTAAAATAACTTGAACAGAGACAGGCAAACTAATCCGTGTCTTTGCAAAGGGCGAGACTCCTGAGAAATCGTGGAAAAACTGCAAGCAAAATACCTGCCTGTCTGGCGGTTCCACCAAGTCCAATAGGAATGCCCCGGGGACTCTCCCACAGCAAGGTCGCCAGGCTGACTACATAAACGTGTCTGGGCGCTGGGTGCGGGCGCCCGCGGAGCTCCGGGGCTCAGGCGCTCTGGGCCCGGGGCTCCCGCCCGCCGTTGAGGAGGTCGGTGAGCTCGCCGATGTACTTGATGGTGTACTTCAGCGTCTGGATCTTGGTGAGCGGCTGGCCCCTCTGGCTGTACACAGGTGGCAGGTAATTCCGGAGGGTGTGCAGGGCATCTGCCAAGGTCCTCATCCGGAGCTTCTCCCTCTCGCTGGCCTTCCGTCTCCGTTGGACAGACATCCTTACTTTGGTGCCCTTCTGGGTCTTGGGGCCACCGGTGCCCTGCAGGTAGGCAGGCTGGAAAGCTAACACGTTGTAATCCACCTCTACCAGGCCGCCGCTGCCGTGGCCGCTGCGGCCATCGCTGCCCCCGTGGATGGCAGCGCCGTGCCCACAGGGCAGCCCAGCCACAGCCGGACAGGGGGAGGAGGTGTACGACTCCAGCGAGGGAGCTGGGGACAGGCTCTGCGCCGGGGAGGCCTGGTTCAGCTCGAAGGGCCCTGCTCCGTTTCTCCAGTCCCAAGAGGACAGCAGGCCAGGGCTGTCGGAGGAGCCCAAGCCGTCTCCCAGGCCGAGGAAGGTCTCGCGCAGGTTGTCCATGCCTGCGAGACAGCTGCAGAGAGACAGACTCCCTGGCAAGTGAGAAAGAGAGTTCTGCCGCCGGCCCGCCCGAGCTGCCTTTTATGACGGTGCCGGACAAGTAATGAAGTGGGAAAGAGGGCCGGGAGAGGGAGTTCAAAGGAGAAAGCAAGGACCAAGATGGAAGATGGACTCTCCAGGTGTCACTTTCTCCTCGTTGATAATTAGCATCTTCCAGCTAACATGGCTTTAAACAGAAAGGCCTCCAAGAGAAGGAAAAAGGAATTATCTTGTTGTAACTAAACCAATTAAGGCTGCATCACTAGACTTAGCATTGTCCTGTGGAACTCATTACAGAGGGAGCCAAAGAAAACAAACCCGGGCAGCCTGCAGCCAGAAGGTGGTGGCCCAGGACCTGGAGGAGAGTATCAGGGTGCCCCAGAGGGCCTCCGCCCCCTTCCACCAAGACCCCCTAGGCATTTCAGAGCAGATGGAGTGCACTGTTAGGGAAACAGCGTGATCTGGGGAGGAGGTAAACCCCCGGAACGCAGAGTCCCTATCTCAAATGCAGACAATAAACCCTTACTTCATAGGGTTAGGGAGGAGGGTACACAGTGGACACATGGTGAATGCCAGTTTCCTCCTCTCCGTCCTCTCCAGTCAATTCCCCTGGGTTTTTGTAGAGTGCAGACAAGCCTAGAGTCAGAATGACAAAGGCCAGCAACTCCAGTAAATCCAGAGCCTTAATGAGCAGGAAATATCCCTCAAGAAGCTTATAAAGCCTTTACTTGAACTGAGTAGGTTGGGGTTTGTCACAGCAAACAGACACCAGGCAAGAGAAAGCTCCTTTAAAGCAGGGCAGTGGGGCTGCCGAGTACCTGGCAGGCAGCCTTCTGAAGGTTGTTTTTCTCAATCCAGCTGCAGAGTCACACCTTGTTTTTGAAATGTATAGAGGAAGTGTGAAATTAACTAGGGAGCCTGCCTGTTTTCCCCACCATAGCTCCAAATGCCAAATGTGTTAAGTTGGATGGTCCTGCTAGTTTGTTTCGCTTTCTGCATGCTCCTGCGAGAGGCAGACCTGTGTTTTGGAAAAGCTTGTGTGGAGCCCCCATTTGTCCCATAAATGTTACTGTTTCTCCGGGTAACTAATGTAACAGTGAGTTACATTTCAGAGTAATCTCAGTGTGTCCTCTAACACGGTTATTTAAGGCCCCTTTGCAATTATTGAAAAGAAATGTCAATGATCTAATTAAAACATTGATGATACTTTTTAATTAGTAGGCTCAGGGAAGAAAAAGCTCACTCAGGCAATCTGTAGAAGAATGCTCTTCATTTTGCTATTTACTAAAGGACCGTTAGCCCTATCTGGCAGAATAACATTAATAAAACATAAGAAAAAAAAATGTAGTAAATGAATCCTTCTCCTTTCCCCTCCCCTTTCTTTTCCATCAGCTCTTATTGGGAAACCAAGAATCTGCTGATATTATTCAAGGAGCTTTACATTCATTATAATGAACCTTTATTTTTTAAAAAAAGAAATGTTTAGCCCTGGCTGGCGTGATTCAGTGGTTAGAGCTTCAGCCTGCACACCAAAGAGTCACAGGTCTGATTCCCAGTTGGGGACACATGCCTGGGTTTTGGGTTTGATTCCCGGCCCCAACAGGGGCACATGTGGGAGGCAACCAGTCGATGTGAATTGTTCCTCTCTCTTCCCCTCTCTTCCCCTTCCCTGATCCTTTCCCGGATCCCTTCCACTCGCTCTAAAAATCAATGGGAAAAATATCCTTGGGTGAGGATTTAAAAAAAAAAATTTACAGATGAAAGTATGAAGGCCCTAAGAGGTTAAAAGACTGTAAGATTTCCCTCATAGGAAGTGATCAAGCCAAGATTCTTTGTAAGACCCAAAAGTCCACCTTTTTACAAAACAAAACCAATCTTTTTTGTTTTCTGCTTTAGCTGGTTGTGGTAGAGGCAGGTGACCTGACTGTGACTCAGAAAGAAAGGGACTCTCGGTAGCTCTGAGGCGTCTGTGGTGGCCACTGTCATAGCAGGTTTCAGTTCTCATCCTAAACTTCACTTTTCTAGATTACTTCTGCCCTCAGACATCATGACTCCATTTTTCTTTTTCTACAGCTTCTTCCTAAAACTGCTGATTTCTTAAGCTTCTGCTTTCAGAAATTTCATTTTCTAGATGAGACAGCATCTGCCGAATCCTTGGTACACTGTAGACACTTAATCAAGGCTGGCGTTGCTCTCGCTGTCGCCGCACCACACCCCCTCCCGGCGCTCTGGCTCCTACCCCTGACTTCAGTCGCCCAGCGTCGCCGGTCCCTGGACACCTGTTCTGAGAACAAGGACACTGCCCGGTCTCCATGTTTGCCAATGTCTCTCTCTTTCTCCAGTGAGACATGAACCAGAACCGGACTTGCATGCACCCGGCTTGTCTCCACGCACGGTACTGGTTCTGTGGAGATGGAGGTGCGGCCGGCAGGGCTGGGCCCCAGCTCAGCTGCGGGGAAAACTGTTGAGTGACACAGGCCTGGAGGCCGAGCTGCTCAGAAAGGGTTCCCGGTGCTTCACACAGACCAACTCACATGGATCCTCGCGGTGACCCTAGGAAGTAGGAGCTATTTTCAGCTCCAATCCTGTTGTACTTATAAGAAACTGAGGCACGGAGGGGTTAAGTAACTTGCCTGACACTCCACACCTAATGCCCAAGGACTGGTAGCCCGGGACTCAAACCCAGGCAGGCCACCTCGGGCCAAGCCTAGAAACACGGGCTGGACTCCTGAGAATGGTCCGGACATCGCACAGTGCTCCCAGTAGTGCTCTTAAAGCCTGAACTCAAGCCTTGGCTGCAACTCAGTAGAAATGGGAAGACTGGTACCGGCTGGTATAGCTCAGTGGTTGAGCGTCAATCCATGCACCAAGAGGTCGCCGGTTCGATTCCCAGTCACGACATATGCCCAGGTTGTGGGCTCGATCCCCAGTGGGTGGGAGCATGCAGGATGCAGCCAATCAATGTTCTCTCTCATCGATGTTTCTGTCTCTCTCTCCCTCTCACTTCCTCTCTCTCTAAAAATCAATAAAGGAAAAAAAAAAAGAAAGAAATGGGAAGACTGGTTGATCGGCACCATTCAGTCACATAACCAGTGTGCACAGAGCCCGGAGATTGGCCCACTGCAGGGGGTACAAAGACACAGTAGGCTTCGACTGTCTGTCCTCATTCCCAAAGTAGATGGCGAGATAGATTAGCACCCACATAGCTTCTCTGCCCCATCAGTGGACAGGCCTCGCCCTCACAGTCCGAAGGGAGGGCTGTGTGTACGGTCGGCAGAGACACCTCTGACTTAGCCGTACGCACAGTTATCCCAGTGATGGTACAACACTAACAACGACGTGTTTAGTGCAAAGTGCTTTGGATGGTCTATTCTATTGAAATCTTATAAAAATCCTTTAAAGAAAATACAATTTTTGTTCTCATTTTACATAAGAAAAAATGGAGGCTGAGAAAGAAGTTGAAAAAGTTGTTCAAAGTCATGATTGAGAAATGGAGGAGCCGGGCTCTAGACCCAGGTGGTCCGACTCCCGAGCGCCGGGCTCCAGTGAATGGCTCTAACTCACGAGGGAGAAGAAGAGGAAGGAGGGTTTTGAAAGGGGCCCTTGTTCATGTCCACAGCTCCAAAACAGAAGGTGTCTGTCTCCCCTACCACCTTCCAGGGCGTTCCTGGCCCCAGGCCACGCAATCATCTTGACTAGACAGCAGGTAAGGTTGATATTTAGTCATAGTTTCCTATAATTGAAAATTTTAGAAAAAAGATCTTATTCTTTCACACATAAAATTTTTTTATGTATCAATAAGATCACTTTCCTTTTCTTGAGTACTCATAGCACTTACTCTGTGCTAGTATACATGATATACATGACGTCATGTAGTCCTCCATCTAACCTTCAAAGTGAACAGTCTTCATTTTATGAGAGGAAGTAAAACAAATGCGAAGGACCTCACCCAAGGTCAATGAACACAGCTTCTCCTTTCAAAGCCAGTCTCACCCAGTGTCTCTGCAGTTGACACAGAGTCAGCTACAGTAATGAAGCCACTTCCTGTTCTCAGTGTCTCCACCTCTGAGCTGATCATGCCCCCAGTGTACCCTGGCCAGTCTGGAGCCATTAGGGTCCACACTCCCCCACCTTTGTCTACTCCACAGTCCCTCTTCCCTGCTTCAGCCACACAACCCCACTGGCCAAACCAGCCTCCGGCCAGACCAGACCCTCGCCTTCCTACCAGGAAAGGGACAGAGCAATGTTTGAACACAGTTAGGACTAAGTTAAAAACCTGTACCCTTTCATGCCATCTCACAATCTTGGCACCCAACTAACATGCAACCAAAAAATAGATAATTCCTGTGGGGCGAAAGGAGTGAGTGTGTGTGTGTGTGTGTGTGTGTGTGTGAGAGAGAGAGAGAGAGAGAGGGGGGAGAGAGGACACCGAACTGCAGTGTGGTATCCTCCCGTGTCCTTGAGCTAGGAAAGAGAAGAGTAGCAGTTTCCTACTGGGACACCGGCATACAGCTCCCATTTTTTAAGCTGTAAGAGCTTTAGCAAAGCCAATGCCTGTGATACTCTCAGGTCACTGCCGTTGCTCCCCAACAGACCCGGAAAACATAATGAAAGTTTTGGGCTCTCCTGGTTTGAGTCTGAGGTTCATTATAAAGCCAAAGAGTATTATGTTGGTTTTGATCCTCTTTAAATCCCTTGTAAAGCATCATGCAGTGAGCAAATGGATGGTTTCCACAGGCGAAGCATTTCACCAGAATCAGCAACAGATAGAAATGAAATAATGTGGCTGACTTCACAGGAGAGACAGAGAGACAGGAGATAAATATGCTAAATTGTAGAAACCCTTTCCAACAGAAAGAGAACCCCTTGTGGATTTCTCGGGCCCTTTGAGGAGGATGCCCTGACCCGAAATCGTGTGTATCTCCAGCCCTTCACTCAGCCACGTCAGGAGGGAGCAGCAT